TCACATCTCCTGTGAGCGGGACTAAGTCTCGAGGATAGGAGTCGAGGAGGGGAAATTAGAGTATTGAGAAGCTTCTATTGAATACTAAAGTGATTCTCANGACAGCTTTACTTTTAAAGAGCATCTTGCAGGTTTTTTTTTTTTCTACATTTATGCTTAAACTTAATTGAAAATTACAATTAAAAAAGTGAATGTAGGATTTGATATGTTTTACGAGACATAAGGGCAGATCCTACATTCACTTTTTTAATTGTAATTTTCAATTAAGTTTAAGCATAAATGTAGAAAAAAAAAAAACCTGCAAGATGCTCTTTAAAAGTAAAGCTGTCTATGCCGTCTGACGGTCTATTCGACACGATTTTCATATTTTTGAGTAATTATACAGTTTTTGACAAACAGAAGTATTGTTTTCTGGCATCACATTAACATTTTAGAGGGAACATCTGCGTTTTGGTATGAGGGCTCACGCCGAAAGTAAGAGGGCGTAGCACCCCTGTTACCTTGTTTAGACAAAACCCTGAGAGGAATTGTCTGTGTCGCTACAAGTTTGGAATTTCATGTCAAGGGGAAAACTCTGAATCATAATTCATAATTATTTGCTTTTATGTTGCTCTCTTCTGGTTTTTGCTCACTGGTACACACATACTTATAGATATGCTTGAAATGAACCTACTAATAGGCAGTCCTGCTTTTGCCCAGCAGATGGCCCACTTGCTAATGATTTGCTAGCTGCTGCCACTGACCACTTTGTTTGAACACCTGTGTCCACACAGAGAAGAGAAGAACTCATATCTGCCCTGATAATCAGCTGCAGTCAATCACTATCTAACTCCATCACCCCTGTGTTGTGACACACCACAGTCGGCCCAGGTCATCTAACCTGTGCGGTCACACTGATCTGGACTAAGTTCTGATAAATTCGCTAATTATAAACTTAATTTTCCTATTTTTAAGAATTTGACAAATTATGACTCAGAAAAGTGAAGTAGTTAAAGAGGTTTTAATACAAGGTCAGTATAGCTTTTGCCAGAATAGATGTCACTGAGTATTCATCCAGACCTATTCAATTCCATTCCATTCCATTGCATTGCATTTAGCTGACGCTTTTATCCAAAGCGACTTACAATAAGTGCATTCGACCGAGAATATACAAACTTGAAGAAAACAGAATCATATCAGGTTTCATAGAGCCAAAACATTTCAAGTGCTACTCAACTACCTTTAGATAAGCCAGTCCTTTATTAGTATATAAGTGCTTTGTTAGTCATTTTATTGCTCGAAGTGGAATCAAAAGAGATGAGTTTTTAGTCTGTACCGGAAGATGGGCTTTCTGCTGTCCTGATGTCAATGGGGAGCTCATTCCACCATTTTGGAGCCAGGATAGCAAACCGACGTGTTTTTGCTGATGGGAACTTGGGTCCCCCTCAATGAGCCTTGAAAATGGAGAAAATGATTTTCAAGCCAATTTTAGGTCCGGCAAATGTCTGAGACTCATTTCTGGTAAGCCACATCAAAGTTTAGGGAAAATATAACTTTTCCTCTGGGGTGCGGACGCAGGCCCGGCTGCTGGGATTTGGGTAGGAGGACATGTGGCCGAAGCTTTGATTTTATAAGCCACGGGATTTGACAGCAAGATTTGGTTTTTAGATGATGACTTTATGGCTTGGCTCTAATGACGGCGGGTCTGCAAAACTGTGATTGGAATAATGTAGCTAACAATCCCTACAGGGGCAATGACACATGGACACTCACGCACACCAAGCACACACACTTGAAATCACACTAAACCCATAAACTACTATATCTGAAGCTTGTGGTGTTGCAGTGCTGGCTATCACTTCGGTATTTTAGGCAGAAAAGTAAAATAACAAGTTTAGACTTAAGTGGTGAGTAAATCTTAAATCTTACTGGCTGACAAATGAAACATTTAATTTGTCAGTGCTCTCACTGCTCTGTAAGGATTGCTTAGCAACACCCAAAACCAGGATGTTGCCGACTACACTGTATGCTTCGTCCTTAAATAGACACTGATTCATACACTATGCGGGATTGGGATACTCAACTTGCTTTGCCCTTAAGACTTTTTCGTAAAATGACAGGAAGCCAGGGGCCTAAACCGGGCCTCTGTCAAGGTATCCTCCCCTACCCCTTTATTTTTTTCAACAAGTCTATGTTGATGCTTTTATTGAGCACTCTTACACCTTGTTTGATTTAAACGTACACAAATAAATTCCCATGTATATCAATATGTGAATAGGAAAATAGTTGAAATGCCATCTGGCAACCTACTGGGGCCACACTTGTTTGCATGTTGGGGCATTTGCTGTTCAACTTTTACAGTAAAACTTAGCTAGTTGTCCTAAACATTTCTCTGTGAAATGGACCCACCGTTTGGTCCACATCTACCTAGGCAAATGCTTTCCTTCACACATAACGCACTTGACACAGGAGATTGTTTTTATCCGTACTGGTTTATTCATACAAACCACTGCTAGCAAACACATTTCAACCTGTCTTGGAGTTTTTCAACTTTATTGACAACTCAAGCCAGAGCGATCCACCGATGAGAAGATTTATTTAACATTTCCTATACAGTCTGAGCACTAAGGTTGTTGCTTAACAATCAGACTGTACTATAATCTAGTAAATCCCTTTGTAGAAAAATAATCAATGCAGTATGAGTTGCTAAATACTAAAATGCTGTTCTCGGTTTGTCTATCATTTGAAGTTTAACATCTGTTGTATGTGGGGCGTCTGACAAACAGAGCAAGCAAAGGGACATCACCTTGAGGTCAGCAACGTTTAATAGTAATAAAGATAGCACTCCAATGCCAAAATCCAAGACTGACAAGATTCAACTCTCTTGAGCAGTGACTGCATGCTGTATCCCCTCTGCTTGACTGACTCCTACTCCTTTTCTCCTGCAGAGCAGGGAGTTGGCCCGTAAGCTGGTGGAGCACGGCCACAAGGGCACAGTCCTGAGCAGGGAAGAATTTGAGGAGAAGAAAGCAGCTGCACAGGCTGCGAAAAGCAACACTTTCTACAGCAGGAGCCGACCAATGTGAGTTAAATAATCACCCTAACCCACCATGCTCACTGAGATATTGTGTGCTTGACTAACAGGGGAGATACATTCACACTAACCACCAGTCCAATGCTAGAATATCAAAAGGCTCCCCTGAAAACAAAATCTGGCTCTTTTCAAATCTGAATGTGGTCAGTGGATTTTGGAATCCATCACCATAGCTAGGAGAAAAAAAGTGACCCTCTGTGTCTACTCCCCTCTATGTTAGTGTTATGTGGTTTATTGTATTGACTTCTCATTCAGTGTGAATAATATTTCAGATGAGTGATCCTCTGCTTAAAATTAGTTTCTTGTTTCTATCTTGGTGGAAGCTGGGAGCTCCCTGTGAAGAGATTCTGTATCCATACCGTGATGCCTCAGCCACTTTGAGTTCCAAACCATACCTTACATGTTGGCCAAGTTTTTATTTTTAATATTTCAAAATGTTCCTTGACTATCAAGTTGTTATGCGTGACTTTACATTTTCAGGATTCCCAAAACATAGTTCTTTAAAAATAGACTGGCACTAGAAAAGGTACTTTGATACTTATTTTTCAGCAAAACACTGGCTTACAGCTATATGTTTTAAGGTATTCTTCCAAAAATAAGCATGCGCATGCGTTTGATTGCACCCTAACCTCGTCGATTACATGCAAATTCGAGGTAGTGCAAATGTATAATGTTTCAATTTGAAAATAATGTGCGAGAAACAAATACAATAAAATTATAAATCATACTGACAGTTGCACTTCTGTGTAAAAGTATTCATGGCCGAAACAATATTGTGAACAATTATATTGTTTGAAATAATCGAACAAAAAAGGAGCCCGTAAAAATGTCTTGATGATAAATTCATGTCATCATAAAACGGAAAAAAAATGAAAATCTTCACAAATAAGAAGCTAGCATTTTAAAATGTTAAGTCCTATAGGCTATACTTGACTTTCTATACTCTTGTAACCCCTTCAACACTGTTTGTGCATTCGCTTTGAGGGTCCGCCATTTTAAATGCCATCCAAACTAATTAGGGGGCAGTGGATGTCGGTTATAAAATCTGCATGGATGCTAACTTTACTCCCTTTACTGATGCGACTGCCTCTAAAAACATTCAAACGGAAATCGGTCAAACAACAAAAAAGGGAATTTTGAAAAAGTCAAGCAAGACCATTAATGTTAGAATAAAAACTAAAGAAATTACATCAAAGAATCTTCTGAGTTTTTGTTCTCCATTGTAAGTTTAGTTTGCTTCTTTTGGGAGATTTGAAAACCGAGACCATGGTTATGAAAAGTCAGTTCCTGGTTTTGCCAACGGAAAGGACTTGACGCCGGGTTTATACACTACCACTTAATAAGTGACTACAATCGCCCATCACCGAGTGGGTGGGTGTACTGTATGTGCCAGATTGGAACTGTGTTGCTAGATAAAAGTGTCAGCTAAAAGTTTAACATGTAAAATATAATTCACAACATCTTTTACTTTCACCCTTTGTTTTTTGAGACAGGATTTCTGTCTCCCTGCAACAAGTGGCAGCAGTATTATCTAGAGGAAAATGTAAAAGGCAATCTCAACTGAAGTTCTGCTCTGCTAATCAAGGCATGACAGCTCATAAAATCTGAATCTTTTATAGGCGTATCCGGTGCGGTAGCAGTTTGAGCAGTTTGTATAATTCTTTATGATTGCATTTTACAAAAGACAGGATAAATTGGAGTAATTCATCAAGTTCACATCCTACATGAACAAGGCTTTTTATTTGAATGCCTGCCCATCTGTCTAAATTCAAACATAAATGGTTAACGTAAACAAGCTCAATGACAAAAACTACAAAGAGTCTTCTATAAACTGCCCCTCCTGAGGAAAATGATCACAGATATTGTTCTCATTCCTGATAAAGCCTCGTGGTTGTGGTATCTCCTTTGATGATACGCCAGAACAGACTCCAAATAAGACCATTCAACATGCACACACCCACACACATACCCATGATTTTGAAGTTTCCAAACATTAACCTGCTAGGTGTTGAATTTGATTGAACCCTCAGATGCTTATCCAAACGTGCAGATTTCTCGCTGTTTTGTCCCCCCTCCTTTCTCCAAACGTCTGTGAACATCAGTGACACTGGTGAAATGGGAGCCTCCACACCTGCAGTTACAGTGATATTAGGCCACAAAGCCTTTTATCTTGTCCCAACAGGATCCAGGGAAATGTCATACGGGAACATTGGGATGTTATAATATACACAGTAGTCTGTTCCGTCTCCAAGATCCACATCCAAGTAGAGATGGTTTCAAAGACTGTTTGCTAGGGTCCTCACAATGTTTGAGATACAGGATTAGAAACTCAACATTGACATCTAAAAAGTCTATTAATTTAAATCTATAATCACCATAAATAGGTTTGTAGCTTGATTCTTCAGACTTTGGATTTAGTTAAACACTTTTACAATTGTAAGTCACACCATAAAAAAGCATCTTAACATGCTTAAAGGGCCCAGGGCGACTGTGGCTGTGAGGGAGTGCGGTCGTCTTTCAACCAGAAGGTTGTGGGTTCGATCCCAGCCCATGCAGTCAACATGTCGATGTATCCTTGGGCAAGATACTTAACCCTGAGTTGCTCCCGATGGCATGGCCAACGGTGTGTGAATGTGTGTGAATGTTAGGTCCTAGAGTAAGGTACACTGCTCTGTATGAATGGGGCCAACGGTGTGTGAATGTGTGTGAATGTTAGGTCCTAGAGTAAGGTACACTGCTCTGTATGAATGGGTGTGAATGGGTGAATGACATGTAGTATGTAAAGCGCTTTGAGGGGTCTTAAAGACTGGATAAAGCGCTATATAAGTACAGTCCATTTACCATTTACCATGTCATGCTTTTCCGGTTATTACCCGTCCCCTTGTGTGTTGTGAAGGTTTTTCTGCATGTAAACGGTCTGCAGAGTCAAAACTCTCAAAGTACACCCTGTAGCGAGTAAAACTCTAACACGGAAAAGACCTGTCTATGCTGCCTCAGAACGCTTCGTTGGACATTTCTCATTTTCCATTGTTTGCTTCCTGGGTTCTGTGACATGTGAACACCCAAATCAACAACAAATGACCGGATTGGCCCAAATGGACCAATCCGCGGAGCACCTCACACACCAGGATCCCTTGGCTAACTAACAGGGAGTCCCCATTGACTTGCATAGAGCTCACTGAACGCTGGGAATAGACGAGTTGGGATCGCGGAGAAATGCTCTCCGCAGACCCATTCTCACAGCGTTATAAACCTTTTTCTTACTCAGCATCAAGCCACACTTATTATTTTTACTTCGGCGAGTGTTTGGTGTGTGCTCAGGATGAGTTTTCGCTGTGTCTCGCTTGTATTCGCCAAACCCGGAAAACCTGGGTCCGCTCCTCGCAGCCAGGTGGTGAGGCAGTAGCGAGCCTCGCAACGTCCCCGGACCAATCAGAACCACACTGGGGCTCACAGGGAGGGGGAAGGGGGGGAGCTCCAACAAGCCGTTTAGCGACAGAGAAGTGAATACACTTGGTGAATACACATACTATACAGAGATGGCTGTATGGAAAAAAACCATGTGATCTTGGAAAAATTGGCACAATTTAAATATTATTCTAGTTAGACCTCAACAATGGAATTTATGATCCATATAAATTGGCCATGGACCATGGGACCTTTAAACAATAAATAAAATGGCTGCATTTATTTTTATATAGAGTGGGCACCAGTTAATAAGGTCTTCAAAACCGGGGAATTACTTTGGCATTCAACCCACTTCGGTTTGCTCGCTCTTTCTAAGTCATCATGGTTGATTAGAAAGCCTGACAAAAGGTCTATGGTTAACACAAGCTGAAAGAGATTTTCTTTTATGACATAAAAACACCACCAGTTCACCACCCCACTTGAGAGAATGTTCTGAAGTGTCTGTGTGTCATAAAAACGGGCGGTGCTAACAATCAGCTAAGTTAAACCATTTTTGTTAATGGGATCCCTTGCCATGCTAACTTCAGGTTGGCCTACCCTACAACCAATACGTCACACTGCACACCTTTAATTTCTACTTTTATTCGTAAAACATTTACAAAAAAATAACTTTGGCTTACTGTTGTGAATACAAAAAAACCAACGAGCTTATAAAGCCAAATATTATTATTCAAAGTTAGACAAGGGAAATAAGTATTGTTTTGTTGTGCAAAACTCAGATCTGTATATTCTTCAAACACTGTTCATATATTATCTACCAAGAGCAACGACCTATGCGGATATTCGGCTACGCACCTATTGCGGATAATTCGGCTACCAATCTAAAACTTTTGTTAAATCTGTATTCTTAATTTATCAGCCCGAAATATCCAAACAAACGTAAGCCATTATTTCACCTTCATCAAATAACGGACAAAACACACTAGATCTATTAATATAAACTGCTTTATTCATAGATGCTACGTTTTTTAATCTGGTCCGTTGTTTTGTAAATAAAGAACCTCTCCAGATAATACAGCTCCCATTTCAAGAACTTTCTAATGAATGAACAATGACCGGTATCCATCGTGAGAGAAGGAATTGGCAATTGCAATAACAAAATTGGCTAGCACTTCACAACAAAAAAACGGTGTCTTTTGTTATTTAATTAAGGGGAAACCGTAGTGGCAGCAAAAACAATTGATTATATCTTAACTAGGCAAATCGTTTAATAGTGACTGCCAACACCCAAAGAGTAATACATTAGCTGAGTTGTTTGCCCCTTGGTATTTTTAATTGAATTTGACCATCTCGGGACCATGTAACAACAAAAATATGCCGGAAGACACGAAAAGGAGATGTCTTCCTGCCAAGTTTAAAAACAACAAGTTTCTTCCATCTGCTCAGTCATTTTTAATTACAGCAAAAATATTTGATTCAAAAACAGTGTAATCTTAAAATAACCCCTTCTGGCTCACCTTTTATAGGACTTGGCCACATCTGTTATGAGTAGCTTGTTTTTCATCAGCGCATGTGCAAGTAAAGACAGATGAGAAGGTTCTCCGCAAATAATCGGACATTGCTGGAAAGACATCAGTCATAAACAGTTTTTACAATCTGTTGTTCTGGGCTTGCCTGACAGCAGCAGGTGATTTTTTCCATATAATTAACCCCTTTACATTAAATGTGACCCTTTATTAGCTTAAAGCCAATCATGCCATGTTAACTCCATTAAATGCAAAGGCCTTTATATAATCAGATACTTTATGCTGTTCTTTGAGGTTTTTCTGCACTTTTGTCAGTCAAAATGTGAGCTAAGAGTGAGCTCATGCTAAATCATTTTGGTTCCATTTAGCTGCTGTCCTTTGTTACTTTCAAAGGCCAACAACTTGTAGGCCGACATATATTGTTTTTTAAAAACATTCTGAACTAATTTCACAGCTATCCCACATGGAAATCCTCCAAAGGCGAACAAAACTGCAACAAACATTTGCAGACTTTTTCCATTCAAAAGTGTCAAGTTTGAGCTGTGTCCCTTTCTGTCTAAATGCAGATTTCTCTTTCCTCTGTGTTTTTCTGATTGGACTTTCCACCAAAGTGACCCCCGTGAGCCTCCTGTTATGGTCCCATTGTGAAAATTACGAGCTCCAGAATGCAAGGTACACCTGCAAGTGGCTGGAGCACAATCAGAAACATTGTTCTGGAAGACAAGGTGCTGGCCACCACAAACAGGCAGGCTGGGTAAGTCTAATACAAACTCAATGCTATTTGGCCTGTTAAAGAAAGATTCTATACATCTGAAAAAGTCATGCTCTGAATAATTATGCCATTTGGATTGTGCATTTATTTGTCTCTTTTTCATAAAAAATGTTAGCTTCCTAGATCTTTTGCACCTGCATACTTATCCGTCTCATGGCAGGTGGGTAGCCCTGCTGTTTTGGGAATGCATTTCGCCTTCCTTGTAGGGCTTAACCTATGTCTCCAGAAGCATGTCTTTTTTCTACTCTGTCTGTCACTGCTCTGTGTTTTTTTTCCCTTCCTTTCTCTTCTTTTCCAACCTCCCTGTGCTCCTCTAAGACTTAGTGCCTGCAGGCTGGTACTAAATAGAGCGGTTTCAATTAAGGGTCAACTCGCCTGTACGTGCAATTTTTATGATATGATCAATGAATGCCCCTGCACCTGTGGTAATAAAATACCAAGGGAGTGGAGATAGTTCCCGGTGAATGCTAATCAGATGGTTGCCCTGTTGTTGCTCTGTCTCATTCTTAAAGGGACAAACCACTGCTCCTGACAGCTTGCTGTGAAAGGTGGGGGGCTTGTCCAGCAAACCACAGAAAGGCAAACAAAAACCTGGTGCTCTCATCCAGAACATAAGTGAAATACAATACTTAAATGAATGGGGATGCTTAGTCAGTTGTTGGAGGTTGTTTGGTTAGGGGGAAGCTGAACGGGTACGTCAGGAATCAACCAAATAGTAAATAGAAAGGGTTGGGTTCCTGATAGATTACTTTTAAGTTTAAGATCCAATTTCAAGTTGGTAAAATACCTAGAATTGTAGGCTGATGTCTTAAAAGATGTTATATGCAGTGTTGTGGCAAAAAGAGATTTACGTTAAATCTGCAAGAAGGTTTTTTAGGTTGGCCAATTTTTTGTTTTTATAACTTGTAGTATTTCAATTATTGTTAATCTTTGTCTTTGCTTTAGCAACATTTAAAGCCTGATAACCGCTCTGAATGTTAACATCCAACTAGTGGATTGTACACTGATTAAGATTAGAAGAAAAATGCTATAAAAACATTAAAGAATATAAAATCCTTTGTTATTTAATTTTGTATTCCGAGGGAAGTACCCAACAGATATTAAGGTTTGTGGACTATAGTGTCTTATCAAAAGCACTTAATCAGACTTCTTTGATATTCCTCACACATATTCTCAACCTTGCCAGATGTATAGAAATGAATGTTCTGTTTAACGCAAAAAATCACATCCATATTAGGTCTGTTACATTTTTGTTATATCTCGTGGCCGAATAACATTTGATACAAAGTCAGAGAAAACAAGAGGAGCAGAGGAGCCCTGCTGGAGCAGACATGAGGCCTCTTTTTCCTCTCTGCTCTGGCTCTGGCTCAGGCCCAGAAGTCCATGTCAGCCAAACTGTCCTGACCTGCGCGTGGCTCACGGCAGCCCTGCAAGGTTTCCATCAGGCTGCGCCCGCGATCTCCCCCGCAGTCCAAAACCACAGCCATGCTCCATGTCCATTGTGCTGCTGCGTTTGTACAGTTCCACCTCAAGAATTCTCCGCTCTCTAACTCTCTACTCTATATTAAAAGTGAGCTATCACTTGCTGTGCCAAAGTAAAACCCAGAGCCACGAACACGCACAGTGAATACATTTCACTTGCGGGATCCAACCTTCCAGATGCTTTAGCGCAAAATAAGATCGTTGGGATTGGACTGACATGAGGAAGCCTCGCAAAGCTGATCCCAGGGCTCATTTTAGCGGGCCAAACCCCCGCCACTCTCCACGCTGCTTCTTTGGCGAGGGCCCTCAGGCGGACGAGGTTTTGTTGCAGGCTCTATTACATATGGCTTGTCAAGCCAATTGCCTTCTGTGCTCATATGTGATTTTGGACGAGTCTAACTTTGGAGTTATCCCCTGCAAGCTCTGTCCAGAGACACACATCCTGCCAGCTTAAGCTCACAACCACCATCCAGTAGATCAACATAGCTGGTTTAAGACCAGGTGTACAGCACGATAATAATAACAAGCTGTTGTTTGACCTTGGACGGTTCACATTTTAGAAGTCCATTTCCGTATTTAATATTTCATTATTTGATTAATGAATCCCCTGGTCACTCACTGGGCTAGATGTAAAACACCCAAAAAGAAGTTGTTTGCATAGTAATTCAAGATGCGATAAAACTAAAAAGGGAACAATGTTTTACTTGCAAATGTAATAACTTGCCCAGTTGCCAGTTGTGTTGGTGACCACTGTGCCGTAGATCCAACAGTAAGATGATGATGATCCTCCACTTAGGTGCTTTCATGCCAGTTATTTTCCCAGGAATAGTTCCCGGAATTTAGTCCCCCGGAATTCTTATTCCTGAACTAATCTAGTTGATCGCGTCCACACCGGAATAAATCCCTGAGGGAGGTTACGCAAATGAAACCGCTGACGTCACGCGTTATACTGGTCGCGTATAAGTCCCGGAGCCCCCGGGTACATTGCCAGAAGGCGCGGACACCTCCTCATCACTCCGCTCCCACGTTTTATTTGTGTTGCCATAAATTTAGTCTCTCTCCGTTGGGTGCCTGGCTAATGCTAATGCGTAATAATGCTAATGCAAGCAAATAAAATGGCGGCTTCACAAAAACTTCCGAGTTTTACGGGGCCGTGGTTTGCAATTCGCCCAGCCAATCAGAAATTGGAACCTTTTCCTCCGCAGGAAAGTACACCTCTCTAGCAGGACTAAAAGGGGTGGAAAAGGTTCGCAAAAAAAAGTTCTAGTTCCATATCTTTTTGGTGTGAACGTAAAATCCAGGAACTATCGGAACCTATTCCTGGAAGGAAACTAGGAGTTAAGATTAGGGCAGGGGGGTGGACTGGCCATCTGGCATACCGGCATCGTTCCCGGTGGGCCGGTTGACCCAATGTGGCCGGTCCGCTATGGTTTTTTTTCTTTTCTTTTTTTCTCTAAAATTCCCTCCAATTGGGCCGGCCAATTGGCTACAGACGGCTAGCAGTGTGTTGCCAGCATCGACAATATTTTTTTTAGTTGTTATTGGTCTTATTGTTTGTCATTGTCAATCATCAGATGGCTACAGGGCTCAGAGAGCCCTGGACAGTGCTGTCAATCCACAACACAAACCAGGGTGGGGCGGGACCTCATGCCATGGTGCGGGAGTCGCGGGAGGGGCTGCTGGCGGAGCTGAAAATGGATAAGCAGAAGAAACGGCCCCGGGTGCGCTGAAAAACTGCGGACTTAAAAAGCTGAAGTCTCGTGGAGGTGGAGGTGCTAAAGTATTCTAAATTGACGGGACCTATTGGTGCCGGGAGTCACCGGCCCCCAGCAGGTGCTGCTGCGCGGGAGGAGAGCGAAGTGGAGGCAGTAAATGGTAAGTAACGTTAGCCTGGGCTGGGCTAGGCTACATTTTTGGACATGTCCAAAAAAAAAGTAGAAAACGTTTTTACATTGAATGTGATGGTGACCTAATTAAACTGCATAGTCCTACTTGTGAAAATATTAGCCCAGAGTTGAAGGGCTTGGTGAATGTTGTTAGTTTGTGGTGATTTTGT